AACAGTTCGCTTATGTGAGGGTATGCAACCGCGTTCGAAAATCGCGCCGGTCCCATGCGACCAGAATCGCCAAAACGCGCAACGCCATCAATTGTTAAATATTTCTTCAATATGAAAAAAATGAAACTCTCACAATCAGTATGGAACTTCTTCCTGTCGTGTTTCTTTCCTTCTCCAATCATCAACGCTTTATACATAGGTATTGTCGGTTCTTGGAAAACCTAAAACGATTATCTTAAGCAGCCTCAACTTAGATCACGAATCAGAGTCAGCGCTGACTCGAAAACGCCCATGGAATCGATATTCACAGAATGAATTGTGCCCAGTTGATGCTCCTTCAGGGACGCTAAGGGAAGTAAGGAGAAAGTGGTAATAATACTGTCACTCACAATCTCATCGTAATGCTCCGTAATGACTTGAGTGGACCCATTAGGGAGATTCACGACTGGTTGAAAGAGACGGAGGTAGTGAAAGACAGTCACCTTAAATAATTTTAATAGAACCATGAAGCAGCCGTGGTTTTAAACCTTAAAATAACCTTCAAAAAAACAACAACAGTTCTCGACTTCACAAAACTGCTGAACACAGACTGATGACTGGCACAGCCATGTGTCAGCAACTCTACTGTCTTTGGCATTATCTCAACATTACACCCTCCCTGAGCACAAGAATTGAAATTGTTAAGATTCCGTTCACAAATCATAGTCCTGATCACATCTATGGCATTGTCTTATTTCACAACTGGAAAATGGACACGTAAAACCAAGCGGTACGCTTCAGCTGCAAACCCTGACAATTTCTAGTCTGATTTCTTCATAAACGAAACGTGACGCGCTGAAAAGCACGCCCTATGAAACTGAGGGTAATATAAAAAAAAGGTTGAATTATCTGATATTTACATTGCAGGTGAGATCCTCTTTCCTCTTAATTTCATTTTTTACATCGATTCATAAGCTTTTCGGAAAGATATTCAAGTGCTGTACAAAAATGAACGCTTCGTTTCACCTTTGAAGAGGTTGAGGTTAAGGCTTACGAAATCGTACATCCAGTCGGCTCTTTTTGAAGCCCAGATGCAACCCTCTCCTTCCCAAGAACTCAAATGGCACTTTACTCTCCCCCTTGGAGCTGCACAACGCACGATTGATCTTATCGTTAGACGAACCTTATACAAAATAATGGGATACATAGAATTCCTTTTTTAGAAAATCATTCGTCTTGCCTTTTTTGCTGGTATTTAGTTTGGCAGTAATTTAGCAAACGAGTTTTTCGATGCGCCACGCACATCCCCGTGGTCCAAAATTGCGAGTGCATTTGAAGTCAATTCCCTCCAGCTTACAATCAGTGGGAACCAGCCATTCTGATCTTTGTCCTGTATTGATCAATGCCTGAGCCTACAGATGCAGTATCATTTTGTGTAAGCTTGAGATGGTCGTTCTGGACTTGAAAATCCACATGCTACCGAGAACTTGCTTGGGCATCCAGAATCATTATATGCGCCCAGACGCAGCCTAAGGCCGTATGTAACGATCCCTGGCCGAGGATGTGTCTACAAAAACCTACATATCTGCTGTCATGACGCATTTCCGGGATGAGAGACTGCTGCATACGGCCACCAGATGTTAAATTCAAGCGCTTGCAGTTTGGATTTGCCGTCGCCTGCCTGCCCGATCCTCGCCCGCGTCGCATGCCTTTGTGTACACCAATAATGACCGCTAACTACAGAGACTTTACTGGTTTCTGCTTGATTTCTGAGAGGTAAAGCGCGGGAATATCGACGTCATCGTTACTGTGTACAGAACAACACTCCATGCTTCAATTCGAGCCTACCATTCTCAAAGTATAAAAGCGATATCGTGAAAAAAAACGCCCAGATGGAATGACGAAACTGTGATCTTAAATACACCTGGTATGCCTCAGCCTGATGATGGACTAGACAACAAATCGCTTGCGAATCGCGCGACTCACAAAGCTCCCAAGAAATGAAAAGCGATATGGATATGGGTATGCGTCATATGGCGCGATCCCGTTGGCATTAGAGCACACATGTCTAACTGCCACATCTTATCATGACCGGACAACTTGTCCTCACCGCATATTCCGTTTCGCTCCTGTTGCCTAAGCGTCAGGTCAACACAAACTATCTCACTGCTCTTTAGATATTTGAGATTGAAAGCAATTCGTGAGACTCAATCCAAAAGATCGATCAACTGCCGATCTTGATTGTGTGATGTGGACGAGTTGTCCGGCCTCAGCAAAATGTGGCAGTTGCGGCCTGTGCGCTCGAATGCCAATGTGATCGCGCCATATGACCGCCTCCAATAGGATATGGAAGAATCATCTTGATATAAAATACCTTCAGAATCATAAACATAAAAAAGCATTCATACAATATCAACTTTTCTCAGCTGTCTAAACCAGAGATTCTATTGTTCGAGGAACTCACAGGTTTTTCATTGACGTCCACGAAGTATATACGCATTTGGACTTCAAACTCTCCCCAACCTGTTTCAGTAACTTCGTAGGGAGGCTTCTCACAGACTGAAAAAAATAGTTTTTCCCACACGGTAATCCATAATCGCCTGTCCAACATTTATTGACAAGACCATTACTAAAAGAACTACTCATAGTTCCAGAATCCGTTTACACGCACAAGTTTTTAGAGTT